ATACACCGGAGCCACCACGCAACCACGTCGCCCGGGGGAAGACCGCACCGTCTCAACACCAGGGACGGCCGGAATAGAGGGAAACCAAGGCAAGGCCATTGCCATCGACTACCGCAAGGTTGCCTGCAGCCACCCTTGGAACACGGCCGCCGACAAAGTCTGCCTTTTCTTGCCCGCTTTGGCGCTCATACTCGAGCGGGGACCACTATGGGGACGAATAAGAAACGGGACCACCGTCGCCGCTCCACCGAGCCTAGGGCGAGCCGGACGTTCGCCGAATCAGAGGGCTAGGGCTGCTGGAGGGGAGGCATACTGATTAAGAGACGCGGCTAGGGCACGAGCGGAAGAAATTGGGGAAAGAGTTTTTAACTCAATTGCTTCAACCTTACATTTCTTGCATATACAACTTAAAATTAATTTCTTATTGACCTTAAAATGGTTTTGACAATTTTCTAAGTTTTCCACCTACGAAAAATGAAATCGTAATATCTGTACAAAACCAATTTTTCTTACAAAACAATTTTGGATATGCGAGTTGTAAACTACGCGAAACATGTCGCATAATCATAACTGTGCAACTTTCGATTTGGATACGAGATAATTACATATGCAAAAGTTATGCGAAGATGTTTTCCATGACTGTTAATTATGCGTTCGATTTGGATATAAGTTAGTACTTGGTATAGATGCGACAAAATCATTATGCCGTTGATTTGAAGATGCAATTAACATATTGTGAATTGTGGGGTGAAAAAAATTTAGTTAGTTGGTGAGACAATGTGGAAAAGAAAGAGGTGTTATAAGGCGCAAATACTTAGGTGTGCCTTGGCACACCTAGCAAGGTGTGCCAAGACAGTTTAAAATGAACATGTTTACACATGTTCATTTTATAAAGTAAGATGTTCATTTTAAAAAAGCCTTGGCACACCTTGCTAGGTGTGCCAAGGCACACGGTAGTAGCACTGGTTATAAGGTGGTGTAAAATGATGATGACCCATTTTAAATTGTCCCAAAAAAAAAAGAAAAAAGGAAAGGAAAGAAAAAACCATACTGTTATAAAATGCGATGAAAATAAAGAACACAATGTAAAAACTGGATATAACTCAAACTGTTCTTTCTTTCTTCTTCTTTTTCGTACAACAACTTACAATCAATTGTGGCCTTTTTATAGGCAAATTTTAAGGCTTTGGCACACACTTCAATACATGTTATAATATAATAATAAAAGGATAATCTTAATAGTGGTAAATCCACTTGTTTCTAATACTCCCCCTTGGAGTTACCACTATTAAATGTGCGTTTATGCTGCCTCGTTAAAAACCTTATCTAGAAAAACCCTGTGGGAAAAAACCGAGATAAGGAAAAAAGAGTACAACCGCACATACTCCCCCTCGAATTATCATCCGTGCAA